TCAACCCTGAGCCGGTGAGATTTGAACAGCCGAACTGCAGTCAGCTGAAGTAGCCTGCAGTGCTGCATTTAACCACTGCGCCACCTTGGCTCTATACAATGTAGGATATTCTGGCTTTATTGCTTCTTTGGACCTTTGACAAAACAAATACACAAAACAGAATTTCAGCTGAGTTTTAAGTTTTGGTTTTTTTCTAATCATTTTTAAAGCTATGCTTTCTTTCTGTAAAGTTTTCCTGTGTCTGTTTCAGAGAAAACAGTACGCTTCATCACCAAGTGGAACAAATGTTCCAGAAAATATCACCTCTGAAAAAGTGTCAAGAAGAGCTGGGATCTGTAAAAGCAGAGCTAGAAGAGAAAAAGGTAGTTTCCTCTTTTTTGAAATAGAGATCCAGATTGCTTAGAGGCACTGCATTTTTAAAAAAAACATAATAATGATTTGTACCTGGAAATTTATGCATAAAGTTTTGGTTAAAAAAAATTATTACTTTGGAATTTGCATGCCTTGATACCATACTAATTCAAGACTAGGACTTGAAAAGTTAGCTTTCACTCCCTTGTTGACTAGCAGCTGTAAATTATAACCATGTAATTAAGATTGTATATTATTTATAATTATAAAATCTAAAAAGAGAATGAGGTAGTGTGACTTGCTGGAGATTTAACACTTCACTGTGCTGTTTCAGTCATACGTCCATCTTTTATCTCAATGGGCCTCCTTTTATGATTAGTATCATCTCATGCCTAGTACATTGTTTGACTTCTGGTGAGGAACATATAGGCTAACCAGGGGTGGGCTTTCAGCAACGGGTTCTCTGCCTAGTGGGTGGGTGGGCGTGGCTATGGTGGGTGTGGCCTTGTCAGCCTCCTGCACCATGGCGGTGGTGGTGGTGTACGTTTTCGCCTTCCCTGGGCTCTGGAGGCTTTCCTTGAGCATCTGGGAGGGCAAAAACTGCTTCCCCCAGGCTCCGGAGGCCCTCCAAAGGCCGTAAAGGGGCCTGTGGAAAAATGAAAGGCCATTTTTCCCCCTCTCCAAGGAGGACTGTTAGCAGTGAACATTAGTGAGTGGATGGGTGATTTTAGTTGTCAATTTTTACTTCATTAGCAGTTCCAGAGACCTGCTTTTGCCCCATCCTTAAATGTAGCACTAAAACTTCAACACTTTAGGGATGTACATTGACAAACTAATGTAGCTCACAGTAGACACAAAATTAAAAAATGAACATGTTAATGCCTTATGACTGATTATTATATAGTAATGAGAGGTTTTGCACGGCCATGGTATGAATTAAGAAACATCGATGAGGTGTAGTTAAATAAAAATTGATAATGATAGTAATGTATACAATGTTGAGCTGTTATGATAAGTAATACATGGATATGAATATTGAATGTTACCCGTGAGGGGAAGGTTAGACATATTTTTGGACTATATATAAAGGTTATTAATAACAATAACAATAAAAAGAAAATTAGACACAGCTAAGTTTTAATTATTTGGGGGGGGAAATGTTATAATATAGGATATAGTTAAAGAAAGGATAATGATAATAATTATATACATGTATTACTTATCATAA